AGCAAGGCGTCAGGTTGTGCCTTGTATGTCGGGATCCACTGGAGGATGAAATCGTGGGCCTGCAAGCCTGCATTTGTTGTTGTAAATATGGTGTTCAATTCATGTTTGGCGTGTTTTTGTGGTTCACCCAAGCGTACATTCACCACGTTGCAAGGACTTGTGGTGTTTTGAATGTTTCCCAGAGCTTGCCATTGTTCACAATGTGAATGTTGCGGCATCCTCAACTCCTCAACATCATTTTACTAGTTTCCTTCACTGACAAGTGGCTCGTGCAGCTATTGTTAAGTTGCTTGAGTTTAGTGTTTTTGCTCGCAAGAAGTGTTTTGCACCAATGTTATTTGGAAAAATGAAAGAAGTGCTTTGGTGTTTCCGCGGCCAAGTCTTAATACACTTGCACAACCAATAACCATTCGACCCTTCTTCTCACCCTCAATACCCTGAAACACTACAGCCATCAGTGACAAATTCCCAAAGCGCAAGCACCAAATGCCGTTTTTTTTTAACAAAAAAAATGCAAGCAGTCTCACTGATCCAAAGATCAGCTCTTCTTGAACAGCTTTCGCAGGTCTTCAAACAAACTTCCTACAAAGTGTTTACAAAGTTTTGGATCTTTACACAAATTTGACAGTTTTGGAATTACAACTTTTTTTACCGAGTTTTTGCATTACAAAGTTTTAACAAAGTCTACAAAGTTTAAAAATAGAAATAACAAACTTCACAAAGTTTTGGAAACTTACAGTACATTGAATTTTAAAAAACTTTGGAACTACGAAGTTTTTACAAAGTATTGAACCTTTAGATATCTGAACAAAGCATTGGACATTTATCAAGCTTTGAACAAGTTTTGGAATTTTACAAAGTTGTTACCAAGTTATTGAGTTTGAAAGTTTTTACAAAGCTTTTACAAAAGTTGTTGATGCTTACAAACTTTCTACAAAGTTTCGGTTTTTTCAATCTGTGTCAAAACTTTGTAATCTTTATTATTTGAAAACTTTGCAAAAAAACGTTGTAAACTTTGTAAGAACTTTGTAAACTTTGTAAATACTTTGTAAACTTTGTAAAAGCTGTGTAAGCTTTGTAGAAACTTTGGTGAAATTCTAAAACTGTGTAAACTTTCAAAACTCTGCAACAACTGTGTAAAGATTGAAAAAATTTGCAAACTTTGTCAAAACTTCGTAAACTGTTGTTAAAATTGTAAACTTTTTAAACACTGAAACACTTTAAACTTCGTAAACCTTTGTAAAAACTTTGTACACTTTGTAAAACTGTGTAAAAAACTGCGATAACTTTGTGTAAACAATTGTAAAATGCGAAAACTTTGTCAAAACTTTGTAAACACTTGTAAACTTTGTCAAAACTTTGTGAACTTTGTCAAAAAGTTTGTAAACATTGCAGACTTTGTACACTTTGTACTAACATTTTGTAAACTTTGTAAACAACTTTTAGATGTTGTAGGCATTCGTAAACTCTATTTAAAAAAGACCGTTATAAACTTCGTAGCACTTTGCAAACTTTGTAAAACGTTTTTAAACTTCGTAAACTTTGTCAAAGCATTGTAAACATTTTGAAAGACCTTGTGAACGTTGTGAAAACTTTGTAAACTTTGAACACTTTGTAAATTTCCTAAAAACTTTGTACAAATTGTGAAACTGTACAAACTTTGTAAAAACTTTGTAAAATGTAGAAAGAAACTTTGTAAACTTTGCAAATAAATAAACTATCAAAACTTTGTAATCGTTGTCAAAACTTTGTAAACTTTGTCGAAACTCTGTAAACTTTGCAAAACTTCGTAAACTTGGCAAAATCTTTGTGAACTTTCCAAAATCTTCAAAACTTTGTAAAAACTTCGTAAATTTGTGTAACAAAAGGCAAATGTCGCAAACTTTGTCAGAACGTTGTAAACTTTGTAAAAACTTTGTAAACTTTGTAAAAACTGTGTAAACTATGTAAACTTTGTAAAAACTTTGTAAAGTTCTGTGAAAGAAGTGTTTTTGCACGATTTTTTGCTTAAAAAGAAGTGTTTTTCATGTCATTTGTTGTAAACATAAGTGTTTTTCACCAGCCATTTGCATGTAAACTTTGTAAAAACTTTGTAAACTTTGTAAGAACTTTGTAAACTTTAAAAACTTTGCAAACTTGAAAAACTTTTGTAAACTTTGTACAAACTTTGTAAAAACCTTGTAAACTGTGTAAAAACTTTGTAAAAACTTTGTAAACTTTGTAAAAACTGTGTAAACTTTGTAAAAACTTTGTAAAACTTTTGTAAACTTGACAAAGCTGTTGTCAACTTTGTAAAAACGTTGTAAACTGTGTAAAAACTTTGTAAACTTTGTAAAAACTTCAAAAACTTTGTAAACACTTTGTGAGACTTTGTAGACTCTGTAAAAATTGAAAAACTGTGTAAATTCCGAACTTTGCAAGAACTTTGTCAAATTCCAAAGCTTTGTAAAATCGTTGTAAACTTTCAATACTGTGCAAAAACTGTGTAAACCGTATAAACTTTGCAAAATTTGTGAAAGCTTGTTAAACTATGTAAATACTGTGTAAAGTTTGCAAATGTTTGTACACTTTGTAAAAACTCCATGTAAAATTGTAAAAATTGCAATCTTTGTTAAAAAATTTCAATCTTTGTACAAGCTTTGTAAACTTTCAATACTTTGCAAAACTGTGTAAACTTTGTAAAAACTTTGTCAACATTGCAGCAACATTGTAAAACTTTCAATACGTCTTTAATTGATTTTTTAATGGTAAAACCTTTGTAAACTGGAATAACTTTGGAAATTGTTCAAAACTTTGTAAACTGTGTTAAAATATTGGAAACTTTGTAAAACTTTGTAAACTTGGTAAACGGTTGTAAAACTTTGCAAACTTCATAAAATCTGTGTAAAGCTTTGTAAACTTTGTACCAACTTTGAAAGCTTTGTAAAAACGTAGTGAACTTGGTATAAACTTGGTAAACTTTGTCAACACTTTGTAGACTTTGTAAAACATTTTAAACTTTGTCAACACTTTGTAAGCTTTGTCAACCTTTAAACTTGTAAAACTTTGTAAGAACTTGGTAAAACTTTATTAAGACGTTGTAAAATTCGCAAACTTTGTACAAAGGCTTACATTCCTTTTACGAAGTTTTGGAGTTCTTCAAATTATTCTTCAAAGTTAGAGCAACGTTTTACACAGTTTTTGGAACGTTTACAAAAATTTTTATTTTTACAAAGTTATACAAAGTTTACAAAACTTTCACAAAGTCTGAAGAATTTGTACAAAGTTTGCAACTTTTGCAAAGAGTTGACAAAGTTGTTGAATTACAAACAAACTTACAAAGGTTTACAACGTCTACAAAGCTTTTACCATGGCCGTTCACTCACCACTCACGAGACAAACAAACCTATGAAATAGTCCTTTGGGTCTCGTATGTTGCCACTAACAACGCAAAAAAACAAGATGTGTTTTATACCCTCTCTTAGTTCTGAACAACCAATTCTTCAGAGGTCCGCAAGGGTCAAAAACACTTCTTCTGCGCTAATTCCCCCGAAACAACGAACGACGGTCCCCAAGCAACTTAACAGCAGCTATTTGATTGGAATTTATTTTATATAAATATCAGAACATCTCTGTGACACCGACACCTCATGGCATGTTCTTTCCATCTCAGCCTCGCCCGGTCTTTCGCACCTTCTTTCGTCCACTCACCGACCCTTCGGTCTCGTCGGTCTCGTCGGGACCGCCGACGTCGCCGCACGTCTTTCGCACCAACGTAGCACGCCAAGGCCTTGGAGGTTTTGGAAGTGCTACGAGACGAAGCTGAAAGTGAGAAGCCGCTCGGTGAGAAGCCTCCGTGAATTTTTCCTCCCAACCGAAACTGCATGGGAACGATCATGAATCGTGTTGGATTGTTGGGAATGATCGTCCTTTGCTGTCCTAGATGATCCAAGTTCTTTGTATTCCGGAGGTGCATTTGTATGTGATTGTTCACTCTGATCCAGGGTTTGGTGTTTGGCATAGAGTCCAGCCAATCTAGTGAATCTACAAGTATTGTTTATCTCCATTGTCCTTGTGTAAATATTGCTATATGGGTAATCAAATGAACGCCCGGAGGAGCACCATGGTGTGGGTCTATGCTCAATTGGCGGCGTTGGAGGACGAGCACAGCAGCGCGTCGCACGAGAGGAGTCACACCGGGTGGGAAGCATGTTTGGTTCATCAAGAGCCACGTTCCTTCAGGGGGATCGGTTTCCCTGATAGAAAAGGTTGCTCCCAGCTAGGAAGGGCCCATTCATTCCAAGAGATCGTCTGTATAAGTAACATTATGTATACATATACTGTATATATATATATTATAGTAATGTAGTATATTATACACACATGGTGCGTATTTATAGTTACTTAGATAGGGAGTTCAATGGGCCCCACCGAGCGGTAGACTGGTCTATGTCCTAAAAAGCGCGGCTTTTACGAGGTTAGAGACCAAACGGGCTTTGCGGCAAGGATGGAGACCACTGACCTCCTTCGTTTCGCCTCCAAGACCGCGACCGTCCTCGGCTGGCTCAAATCGGCGAAGACGTCGACATCACAGCGGCGATTTGTCAAATCCGACCTGGTTGGGAAATAGGACAATCCATGGAGGTATGGGTGCCATGACATGACTTGGTATCGGTGCCCCAATGTGTCCCAGTAAACCAGTGATAAGCCGACGGTGTTCACAAGACCATCTTTTTTTCAGAGATGCAAAGGCATAGGATACCGATATACCCAAAACCATTCATGACATTTCATGACCATGTCATGACCGATGTGACCCTGGAGATTTCGGAGGTACATGGGTATAGGCCACTGCCAAGTTTGGGACACAGTAAGTTGGGCAAATTCCACGGTGTCAGTTGGTTGATTGCCTAATAAGTTGTGCCAAATCATCCAACTGCACATTTGAAGTCAGTACGGCTTCAGTTGGATTGTCTAATAAGTTGCTAATTACTTGGAAACTTAGACCGTTGGTGCCACAACGTAGGAAGGTAGTTGAAGGGTGGACACAGCGCGGTGTCATTCGGCCTTCGCAAAGATGCGGCGCGTCGATGAGCTGCTGAATACTGGGCAGGAGAGTCCGAGAGTCGCCTTCGCCGATCTTTGTGAGTCATGGAGTCTCCCCACTCTGAACACAAGTGTAAAACCAGTCGACCGATCGACATGTCAAGACCGACCAACCTCAGCCCAACGACGAGATCGAGGGTGTGAAACGAAGGTCACGGGCCTGGAAGGAGGTGGGTCATGTGTCGCATGTGATAATGTACTTGTAGACTCTGAAATTAAGAACCTCCCGCATGGCCAATGGATTGTAACACCGAATTCATATGGGGGGTTATTCCTCAAGAGTCTGCAGTATGTCAGGATGATTTTGGGGACACTTAATCCCATGCAGTTTCCAGAATACATCCAGTTTCTGTAGACTAGGACCAGGATTCTTTTGGGAAGCCAAGCCTTCTTCATGATTTACGTCACTGGACGCAGGAATTCAAACGAACAGATCGAAAAATGGACTTGCTTGGACCCCTCTTAATAGTTTAATCTACGTAGTAGCAAGGACGCTATTTAGGTGGAGGCCATCGCTATGAGGGTGGAAGCCGTCGCTACCAGTAACGAGAAGCTACTAGTAGCAAGGGTACTTAGGTTGGAGGCTTGTTCGTCTCTGCAACTTCGGAATCCATTGTTTTCTGTCCACTGCGTCATCCATCCATCCTCCAGGGCTTCGACGGGCTTGCTCGGAGAGCGAAGGCGAGCGAAGGGGGAAAGCCCCAGATTCCCAGTGGAAGCCATGACATGTCATGAGCCACCCAAGACCGGACCTACCTTAAACATCCTTAAACCGGGTCGGAAGAGGAGAAAGAAACATAAAGACACCCTTTTGGGGAAAGACATCGTCCAAGCTTCCAAACAAAACCCTTGGTGTTGTACAGAAAGGTCATTTAAGAAAGTTGAAGAACCATCCGATCAAGATTTGCTCCATGCAAGACGTGTCAACCAAAACTATTGGAAGCATGTCACGTCCGAATCCTGGTGGCAACCTCTAAATAAGCTACTAGGAACAAGTGCATCGCTTCTAGTAACAAGTGCCTTACTAGTAGTAACAAGAAGCTAGTAGAAACAATAATTAAACTTAATTCTAATTACTAAGTATTGTTTCTACTAGCTTCTCAGATACTTGTTGCTTCTGGCTCATGCACTTGCACGTGGAAGTGCAATCAGGCGTTTGTGTGTGTGTGTGTCATGCGGGTCATGCGTGTAGGGCTGATGTAACATTCGTGATGGATGACCTGAACAGGGACTACTCTTACAATGCATTTTACCCGGTACACTCAACAGTCCCTGAAATAATCTTGGTTACGTGGATGGCATAGCCCCGAAAGGATGACCACTTTCCACAAACAAGGAAGTGTTCCTTGGCTTTCCACTTCCATTGATGATTTCAATTTCATTTCAGTGTTCACAACAGCTGAATATGTCCGTTGCGCCTCGCACCTTTTTTGGGACGGCGCGGGGCTGGAAGGAGTCACGTTGCGGTGACCGAACGTGCGTCGTGGCGCTCCTCGTCTCGTCGAATTCAGCCTGCAGAATTTTCAGCACTCCTCGTCGTTCCCGATCTCAGCGACTTCTCACAGTGCTCATCGCTTTGCACGAAAGAGTGCAGACCGGGTTTCAGCTTGCTCTGCATTTTGAACCTCAGCAGCAGAAAGCTTGGAGGCTGAAGGCCAAGGCTGAAGCTTGCAGCGCCGTAGCAAAGTACTTTGGGGCGAGTTACAGCCCCAGATGATGGAGACTGAAGTTCACACCTTCGCAGGAAAAGAAACTGTAAATATGGTCGGACACCTATCCAATGCCGCCAATGCCTATCCAACAAACAAGCTAGTGTTATCCCTTCAGATCCTCCGGAGCCGTTGATCTACCTGACTGTATACAGTGCTCAAACATTTTGGATAATCCACCCTATCATGAACCTGTGCCGCTGCAACGTATCAGCAAGTGCAATGACAAACACAACAACAGACAATAAACTATGACACTGACAACACAATGACAACACCAAGCATAACATAAACATAAGGGCAGACAACCCGACAACCGACGACACACACACACACACTCCGACAATGCCAAACATAACCACAGCGCATCCCACCAGTGGGCCCCCAATGTTCCCGACAGTGGCGAAACATGATAGCAGACAAGACACATTGACACAATAGTGGCCACACCAAGCATATAATCAAAACACAGAACACATGACAGTATCTGAATAGACAAGGACAAACACTACTATAGACGGCAAACAATGACACAAACAACGACATCGCAACATGGCCAAAACAAAAGGCATGAAGTACTTGACTACACACCGGCACACCAGGCACGACGTCAGACAACAAAAAACGACAACACCAAATGCAACCACAACACACTGTGGCCCAAGGATGCCTCGCCAGTTGCCCCAACTCACTTATAATACCAATGTATTTGGGCGGATGGGGATAGTTTGAAGTAAAGTAATTTACCCATTCCATCAGAATCACGGACACTAAATGAGGCTCATGCATTGACTGGTCATTCTTCAGTGCACCCAGAGGCAGCAGATCTGATCGGTTCTGACTTTGCGGCAGGCGCAAATCGCGGAGAACGGGAACCACGCGGCAGTTTGTGGATAAGATGTTGTTCCTTTTTCCAGGATTGAGCACGTTTGGCTGCTGTCTTTGAGAATCAGTTTCATTTCCATGTATATAAGGGCGTTGCAGACACGTAATTTTCTGACTTGCAGGGCTGGGCGGTTGGACATACACCTGCAAAAGTGTTGCTCGCCTGGTGACCTGGCGCATACTTTTCTGTGAAAACAGGTGTCTCCTACCTTTTGATGGCAAGGCTGGGTGAGCTTGGACTGCGTCAAGCTCATCCAAACAAATCAACAACTGTTCAGCAGCCTCTCCCATATTTTTGCATCTCCAACCATCACTGCGTCACAACATGGGCATATGGCCTGTGGGCATTCCCCCACAGGCCATAGATAGTCGTGTGATGCCATGTGATGCCTCATTCGCAAAAACACCAAAATACTCAATTCTACGTAGTTTTTCAGGGTGAGCCCTAATAACCCAATGATTTTGTTAATGGTTGTTTAAACATGTTTTTCATTGTAGGTTTTCCCACCGCTCAGTTCTTTGGAGTAGTCCTTCCAATAAGTCCACGCAGGAGTTACCGTGCCTGGCTTGGGCGGAACATGCAAAGATGGAATAGAAAACCCCACCTTTCCCACTGTAGTGAAACCATGGTAAACCACTCCGGGTAAAAGACACCCGTCATCCCCAAAAACTTGGGGTGTTTTCGAAAACCTCGTGGACCCAGTTACTTGTGGCGAACGCAGCGGTCGCTGTCGGAGCCAGGTGCCACGCGGCATGGAACGCGTGGAACGTCCCAACTGGCATCCTTCTTGCCGGAGCTACAGCAAGGCGGTGGGTGTTGGAACTCGAGGTCTTGGACACCCGACCAGGGGGGGGGTCAGGGGGGATTCTCACGTGGGGAATACCACTTCTATGTTAGTTGGATGGAAGGTAGGTGGTATGGTCCGAGAAAGTCGGACAAGATCCAGTCAATCTGGATCCACTATTTTTGAGGGTGTTGGACTTCAGATAGGCTGAGCGGCTGCTTTGGGGGGATCCAAATCTAACCCTCAACGACTCATCTTAAGATGGATTAGTTGATACACTTCCAAAGCAAAAACAAAAAAAACGGACACATCCCCTGATCCATGGCGAGGTCTGGAGTGGTAAGGATGAATTCTTTCAGGCAGATCCAAGTAGTGCACATCCCTCTTCGTCCTCTCAATCTGCCGGGCGTCGCCGTTCGTCTTTTGTTTGAGGCGTCCTTTCTCGGGCACGGAGCAGCTTCAGTGAGGCCAAGGCAGCCGCCGAAAAGGCAGCCATCATCCAGGATCAGGCCATCCACGGGGGCATCTTTTTGCGGCTTTGGGGTGTGGATGAGTATAGTTGGATGAGTATGGCCCATGATAAGGGAAGCAACCCTTGCACACTGTGCGATCTAGTTCTGAGTGTTCCTCATTGAAGTAATTATTTGGTAGTTTGGGGGTTCACACACAACCCAACAGGAACAAGTGGAGCAAGACGTTTTTCTTTGGCAATAAATCGCTTGGGGGGTATGAGAATGGACTCCCTTTTCAGGGTCTAGATGTTCAGATATTTTTCCTAACAAGGCAAAAACTCCAAAGGAATTGAGCTTGGAATATTTCAGGATATATGGCGGAATACCGCCCAAAAACCGCGATGAAATCACTCCCTTCGCGCCCTGTTTCACTGTGGCCATTCGCCATCTATAAGGGCTGTAGAGGTTGAAAAATCTGTGGTAGTGCTGGAATGTGAATGTTATGGAAATGCTTCAGAGAAGTGACCTAAAAGAAACCATGGGGCAGGAGAAGTGCTGACTAACCCGGGATTGATGGCGCAAGCCTCTCCCAAGACGGAGAAGCTCCAGTGAAAAGCCCGGGTAGAGCTAGAGTACAGGAAAGGATGGGGGAACTAATCCAAAAAGAGGGGGGAGGGAATGCTCTCAGGCTTGTTTCAGCGGTTTCTCCAAGAAGACAAATGAGCAGCGTCAAAAACCTCAAATGAACATGTTAAGCAAACTTGTAAACTCCAACTTGCCCGCGGAAGCCAAAACTGCAGTCGTGAAAGCTTGCGCAAGCCACCGCGTAAGTATATGGTAAAATTCACAATCGCTGAAGCTTCGCGGAAGTGCATATGTTATCTACTTGAAAATAATAAATGCATCTAACGCTTTAAGGAGCTTTGTCTAACCTATGAACACTTTTCAGAAATTCGTCACGGCAGTGCCGCGGAAGAGGATTTCAACCAAACATGGCCCGCGGAAGCCAAAACGCAGGTCGCGGAAGCTCCGCGCAAGCATTGACGGAATCAAGTCATGAGTATAAGAGATCGTAGACCGGTTTTTGACACCGCTCAAATGGTTCTCGGCTGCGGACGCGCAGACTGCACGACTGACACCCAGGTAGAACAAGCACAAGAAGCAGCAGAGGAGGCGGAGGAAGAGGCACATTTGTGCCTGGGATATCTTTGCAATGACCTTGCAGCCGTTCCCCAAACAGATGGACCTGATTTTCAAGACGGTCTAAATGGGGTTTCGCTTTTCCAGGGATTTGGTTCACTCTGGCCTTAGTGTCATTAGATTATATCATTAGATTATAGTCCCCAACCGATTCACGTTGCTTTTCTCAGTTTGGCACACAAGATGAAGTGAAGTTATTCATAGTGCGTTCAATCATGCCGTTTTGACCCCTCAATTGTTATTGCACGGACAGTCCGGGTCCCTAAGATAAATGATAAATGCTTGACTTAAGGCAGGATTGCGGCAGGATTAATGAAGGCACTGTAAGTGTCTTGCTTTTCCACATCCTCTTCTAGGGTATCAATAGCAAGTCTAGTTGAACTGGATTAGTTTCCACCTGTACATCAAGGTCACCCTTTTGAATATCTCCCCGTCCTTGTCACGACCTATTGGGCAAATACCTTTTTGTTGATGTGTTGTGTTTGTAAGAGGATCATCATTTCATGACTTGAGTTGAGTGTGTTCTTTTGGCTTAGATGGACTAGTTATTGCTTTTGGGATCACATTACATAGCTCCAAGATGATCAGAGTGTGCAAGGGGATGGTCAATGTACGGTGCAAGCACTTAGTTTGTAACATAGGGGTCCCGTTTTTGGCCTTAACACCCCCGACACGTTTTGGGGGTAGTATTGATCATGTGGCCTTTGTCTCAGACGTCGTGATCGCCCATTCAAGCAGTGCAGCGTGCTGAGGAATTTACTGACCCCCACAATGCCCGGAATGAACCACAATGGAACCTTCCACCTCTCATCCACCACTATCCACCTCCACCTAATTGGATACCATCCATCCATTCCTGCAACCCATGGAGATCCACCCACCTGCCTCAGGCCGAAGCCGCCGAAGAAGCGGAGCTCATCGTGGTGGGCATCGCCACTGTCTTCGCCGGGCGCGGAGACCCGGGAAACACGCAGATCGTCACGGTTGCACGAACCCCATGGCCATTTTCAAGTGGGGGAGATCTACTGCGTTTGTTTTGTTATTGTTGGGAGTATTCTCGCACAGAGGTTTCTTGGCACCACGCGTCCCAATATGTTTGATCGCCTTGGTCAAGAGAATACAATCACAGTAGATAATATAGATAAAGTCACATCACCAGGAGTCACAAAGGGGTGGTGTTAGTCCCTAAGTGAGTGGATAATGGGCACCCTTAACTTCCATTAAGCGCCCCTTAACGTCCATATACAAATACGATCCAAACCTAGCGTCCCCAGACGACCAGCCGCATGGGACTGTAGGTGGTTCAGCTAAAGTGCTTTGCTAATGCCAATACAGGCCTGTAGCCTTAGACCATTGTATGTAAACAACATTAAACAACCATAGATACAGGATCATACAGGTAATAAGTGTGGAACGAAGCCTCCATTGAAACCAGACATCTCAATGGAGAACCTCCTTGGTTGTTTGGTGTGCCATCAAGCTCTCCAAAGCTTGCAACAAAAACGCTTCGCCCTCGACTCACAGCGCGGTGCTACGAGGGTGGCCTGGTACACGACCTATTTGACTTGGCAGATGTACCAAAGGCGAGGCACTGGAGTGGGTCAGTGTTTGGGATTACATCATCGCAGGATTGGGCCAAAAGATGTCAAAAGACATCGCAGGACCTGTGGATACTATGGTGTGGGTCTCAAGATCGTCTCCCGACAGACTATCGGTATCACGCGCAGAAGTGCTGATTGGTTCCACAGGCATGTGGCAAGGGGTGAGGGTTGGATAGCAGATTGCGAAGACAGGACCTTCAAGATACATCAAGATACGGGATCACACCGTGACAGCACAGCTATGTCCATCCATGACAGATGGCTTGCTTGTGTTTAGAGGATAAATCCTGGCACTGCTTGTGTTAGGCGCTCACATCAGTTTTTCGTCAAACCGCCTTGTTGTTTTTGCAAACGGAACAAGTGTTGACCATCCCTGATTCTGAGGTGATTGCTTTCAACCATTCTCTGCTCGAGAATCTCTCTGGCCACAAAGAACACTTAATGTAGGTCGGAAACTGAAGCAAATGAATCAGAGCACATATTATTTGTTTCAACAACTAGGGTCTCAGAGGATATGCTGTCTAAGATGACCCCAGCAAGCAGGCAGACATGTATGTTCATGGGGTCTTGAAGACTGTACGCATGATCAAGGCAAACCAGGTCACTCAAAGTTTGTGACAGTGCGCAGAATGAATCAGCAATTAGGTCATGAGTCATTCGTTGTTATATAACGTTTGTTGCTGCGTGTTCAATGACAAATCGACCATCCCAGTCCCAATCAAACATCGGCCAATCAAACCACTAATGATCAAGTGAACGTTCAATTAGGTGATCCTGTGCCATAGAGCCAAACGATACAAATCAAGCAGGTGCCGCCTGCGCCGCACGCTGTGTCCGTTTGGGTGAAAAGCCAGCCCCAAAGACGAAGGGATCACCAGCCAGTTTCTTTCTTTGTAGTCCCCTCGAGCATCCGCTTCAACATGCGTCAACCCTTCTTGAGACACCACCTGAGAACCCTCAACCATTCCAAGACAGTCTATAATATGGCCACCATGGCAATGTCGCAGTTGCACCCACCGATCCGTGAGGTGTCAAGAAGCTCTTTTGAAGAGTGTTTGTTCCAGACGTGGCTTGCGTTGATCTGTCCCGACGGATCCCCGTGTTGACAAGACTGTACCTTCCTGTTGAGGTGGCTCAACATGAAGAAGCGCACCGCGCTCTGCGTGGGGGCTGCACGCGCGGCCAACGCCGTCAGTGAGCGGTAAGCTCGGCTCGCAGACGCGCCGCTTTGGTGGCCGCCCGCAGTACGCGCCCATACCCCAGAAATAAATCCATGCTGGGAAACATAGGATGTTGTTGATGTCCCATTGTAGTATCATTCTCGTGGAGAATGAAGGTGATATGTTTGGAGTGTTGCTGCAGTCCTAATTTGTCTACCATTTGAATGACTATGATGAAGCTTTGTTGTGATTTGGAATCACAGATAGGTCTCACTGAACTGTTGCTGGCTGTGAAGCTTGAGCTGCATGGTAGGCCACTACAGGCTTTGAGTGGTACCTATCCTATCATGACTTAAAGAACACGAACCTGGACACAGAGGCCCCATGCACTACACCTGTTGTTGTACATTGTTGTCAAGTTTTGGGTTGCAGAACAGACGAGGACCGACCAAAAAGAGTTGATTGTGAACGTTTCCTTTTAACAGATAGTACATTGTTTATCAATTATTATCCTTTTATTGGCTCTCCTCCAATGTTGAGATTTTGCGAAGGTAAAGCCCCCACTTCCAATATCAGGTGCAGTGTGCCATCAAAGCAGTGTGAACAAAGCTTTCAACTGCTCAAACTGTTCATTCTCACCTCAGTGAGGAAGGCCTCCAAACGCCATCACGCACCAGAGAAGCAGGAAAACGTGGAATCCCAGGGACTGCTTGGACCAACTTGGTTGCTTATGCTTGTTATGACCTATAGCCAAAGCTAGTGCCAAAGCTAAATATCAAGTTATATGCAGCTTTCAGGAAGGGTACATCTGGGCAAGCTTCAGACGAGCAGATCCTTTGTCCCATGTTTTCTGTCTTTGGAGATCGGACACTTGTTGCCACTTCATTGGACCAGAAAGCACTGCTGCTTTTTAGATTGAGCCTGTGAGATGCAAAAAGAATCCGCTGGCGGGGCCTGCTGTGCGGAGTGGGCCTTCAGTGGGCTTGCTGATGTTGTTCTTCCCGCTGACCAGGATATTGCTCCAAAAGGTCATTTGTCCGGCAATCTTGCAATCTCTAATATCTAAGAATATCTCAACACAGATTCCACAGAAGTAGGTCCATAAGCTCAAGTTAGTGTTGAAGCACCTCTCCTTCTTCCATATGATCCGGAAACAGCTCCCTTGAGTTGATTGATCCATTGGTTTTGGTCTTGGCTGATTCAATAGAGTTCTTCAACCAGGAGGGCTCACTAAAGGTGTCATAGAGGGATGCAAGGGCATGCTCAGCTCAAAGATGAAGTCAATTCTGATCATTCACGATTCTTGGGGTCAGTGTAGCTTTAACAGCTAAGGTATTTGGGATGGGCTCGCTATACCTATGCTCGTCTGCAAAATCTCACTAGGGTGATGGCGTTTCTGGCTTACCTCAGTAGTACAGTAGCCTCACCAGCGGGCTCGAAAGGAGACATGTCAGTCACACCCCAAACTACAAAGTAATTTAAGCATCTACAGGCTACAGGATCTCAAGAAAGAAGACCTATAGTATTTATATCCCCAATTGCAGGAAGAGAGTGGTGCCTTGCATCAGCTCCTGGGCTCCAGTCTCATGGACACGCATGCGCAGGAGCGCCGAGTCTGCCGAAACGGTTCATTCGGGTCCGGCCCGGCGGAGGTCGCGACTGCAGGCATCAGCGGAGGTCGAGTACGTCGATGTCGATAAGCGGACTTAAGCAAACATCCGTGTTAAGAGGCGACGTGTGCAAGACACTTTGGTTTCGTTGTTGTTCTTGAATGCCTCATGTTTCTTTTCCCCCACATAGACACAGGTGACATCTCAATGCCAAAAAACGGAGGAGAGAGGGAAGGTATCATGCTTGTTTCCAGCAAGTAAGAGTGGAGCTGAATGAAGCCACCAGGGTTGATATTGATCACTCAAGAAGAGCTTAAATTTAAATTGATCAATGCCATCGATCAGAGGGAGTTGTTGGTAATTATTGTTCGGTATAGCATGGTATAGCGCTACTTAAAATGTAATTTCCGCATTTGGAGCCTAACACATTCATCAACTAGAAACAATTCTATATATGTGTGAATACTCTTATAATTAAACAATATAATGAACTATCACAATATTTGCTTGCCCATTATCCTAAAGTTGAATCTTACTTGATCTCCTTTTTCGGGCAACCGGCCGAAAGATAGTGCTCCTTGAGGGATTCACCGCGATGTTCGACCTTCTGTGTGTATGGAAGAAAAACCCGTCGACCGACCCGCAGGAGCCTTTGACTGATGCAGCTGCCCGGGTCTTTTGCCTCTGTGCCGTGGGCGATGAGGTGCGAAGCCAAAACACCGAGACCAGGCGGCCATAGGTGACGGTGACGGTGTGGCGAGGTCGGCGACGGTGACGGTCGGCCTGGTCTTCGGCTTCCTAAACCGAAGCCTTTGGGATGGATAAGACGAAGGCGATAAGACGAATTTCCTGGAGGTCCATCTTTGGCAATGCTGCCAGAACCCGTCAAAACTATATAAGAGAAAACCCTTAGGGGAACAGTTGCAAACGGTGAGCTAAGCATGTTCATACATTTCCGCAAAAGAACAGTGGGCTCCGCAGGGCAAAAGCCGTCTTTTCTTTATGCGTTTCACCTGCCGTTGGAGGTGCCTGAGGAGCTCCAGCTGGGCGTCACGCGCGGGCTGGCACCACAGCTGGCGAAGGCAGGTGGGGCCGTCAAAGGGGGCGCTTTTTGGTGCGGCGAACACAGTGTCGAAACTGTTGAATGTTATTAGTTGTGGTTTAATGAAGCCGCAATGGCTGTTCAGGCAATTCGAGGTGAAGACTGCACGGGGTGCTTTGGCTATCTGAAGGGATTGTGACAATACCTATATATTGATACTGGCTGGATCGGCATTTCATTTATTTGGGCCTGCATTTCATGACCATCTACTGTTTTCGTGTTCAATCATCATCACCCTCCTCCGCAGGCTGTGGTGCGAGATCCCCGGGAGGCGCAAGGGACCTCGCTGGCGTGTTTGGAATGATATTTGCGAAAATGCACGGAGATCCCTGATTTTTGTTTCCTAGTATCACTAAACGATACTGTGTTCTCATGTGTTCTCATTGGTTTTCATGAGTTGTATGACGTTGCAGGACCATATGACCATGTCCTACTGTCAATTCCCAAGTTTCACCGTCTTGAACCTCTGGAAGGACCGAACCTGAAGGTTTGTTCGGACGGATGTCGAACCCCCTAAAGAAACGGAATGTTTCTCACAAGGAAGTGTTTTGCAGACAAGACATGTTGGAAAATTGAACTTTTAATCCATTGATCCACAACTTAAACATAGGTGGCCGCAAAACAAAAGACATATTATATATATGTATAATGGTCCTGATAGTTCCAATAATTCTAAAATACACCTATTTATAATAGTTGTATATACATAGTATATTGCAACAGTCCACCTGGCTTGTTTTATCCTGTCGAATTGGACGTTGGTAGGTGTTGGCGCAGCTTTTAACCGCACTTCAAAATCTTTGAGCGCAGCTCTGGGAAAACAACATCAACACCTGCCAAAGCATCAACATCAAATACCCATCCTTTTGTTCGGAGAAACAAATAATCCTCCCCCATGCACTGACACTGGACTTCTTTCTCCAATGGTTTGACTCAAGACTCCACACTCAGCTGTCTTGGATCAAGCTTTTGAGTCGACTCCGCGAGCGTATTTTTTGCTGGAGCACCCCACACCGGCGCCACGGCATGTTCGGCCAAAGTACACTGCAAAGGTCTTTGTTTCACTGTTCTTCATAGTCCACAGTGACACCGCCAAGTCTTAGAGTGTTGAAGGTAGAAATCCATCCATATTTCTGGGAATCATGCAGATTTCTGAGAGCACAATGATTTGGACATGCCAGTCACGTTTGTGTTTGTGCTGGTCTCCATTTCAAGGAGGAGAACCGTTTGGCCACCTTGGACCATCTCCAATTTTGAAGAGCAAACCAGAGACACAACTTACACTGGGTATGCCCTTTTGCCGTGTGCATTTGTATTGTGATCTGTATTTTTCTTCGGGTTTACCTGACAAGTGCAGTGGCGATTGGGTTCCTCATGTACCTTACGTGGTCTTACTGCCATTGAAAGTGATATCGATTCATTGGAACATAGCGGTCCCTTCATTCTGCAGAGTGAGGGTGATTCAAAGGGTCCAGGCGGTGCGGTCCAGGGGTTTTGGTTTTGGATTTCCCTCGATTTCCCTCGCGGAGCCCGATTTCCCCGGGTGGTGAGCCGCGGGCCGTGGGCCATTTTTCCGATGAGTGTCACACATAGTCTTGGAGTGGTGGGATTGGAATGGTCAGCATCAGGCAAGTGTTTCGCTCAGCTTCAACTTCAGCTTGCTCTCCCCAGAGAACATACTAAAATTACTATATAAAGGACTTGTACATACTTGTACTAAGTGCAACTCTTGCACTTGCCAAAAGACCACGCCTGCTTTTGCGGCTTTTGTTTTCGTCGCTTCTTCACCACCCGTGGGGGGTTGCTGTTTGAGGTGCCACTGGCTGCATCGTCAGCAGAATGGCGGCGACATATAGCTATGAGGACCTTCTTTCGTGCGTTTGGCATGAGGATTTGCTCCCGTGAGGGCTCAATCTGATGCACTGATGGTGTGTCCCACTCTGCCCAGTGCAAACTCCGCCAGTTAGACTGTTTCTGCAAGAAACATGACTTAAGGCCTAAGCCTGAGTGTTCACAAGGCCTGGAAGATTAATGCTGGCTTGAGCTGTCGTGGATTCTCTCATATCATCCCATTTGTTCTCGGGCCATGATATACTTAATATTAAGCTAAAAATATACTTGGTATATTCGGTACCAGTGGAAAACCACGACATTCTTCCTCGGTGTGTTCGTCCTTCCACTATTCTGTGGCGAATTGTATCTTCTACACCTTTGTGAGACTGCCAAAGTGAGGACCTTGAAATGCACAGCGGGAGTGACCATGAGGAGACCACCGCCGCGCTCCTCGTGGAAGGTGGGCGTTTCCATGTCACAAGGGGATCGACTGATGACCTTAATATACCTTAATGATCTATGATCTACCTTCGGATCATCCCATGATAGTTCAACAAAAGGTTCATTCTGATTTCACCGAAAACCCTGTACAAGAAAGCGCGTCGCCCTAGGCCCTTCGATGCCAGGGCCCTCCCGCCGTCCCAACTCGTGTTCTCCGCTGGACTGCACCGGGGGTCAACGGATGGAGCCATTTGAGGTGCTGGCACCAGCTGTGGATGTGAGCCAAAAGGTGATTGAGTAATTAATTGTATGGTGATGTACTTTTTGGTTGTAAAACCTATACTACTACTGTACCAACTACCCATCAAGCGTATTCCAGAGGTCCTACCAAGGTAGGCAATTATTAAGGTTGGCTGTATGAAAGGATAAAGGGTATTTGCTGGATTTGTTGGGAATATCTATTGCTTATAACATCGATTCCAATACTGCTCTACGCCACCGGTGCCCCCACGCTGGGCTAACTCACCCATCGCGGGGCCTCGCAGGAGGAGCGGGACAACCGACCGCGTTGGTCGACGACATGGAGAGTCCGTAACCCCAGCTTGGTCGATCGTTTGCTGCACTGCTCCAACACCCGGGGTCAAACGAACCACCTCAAACCACCTCACCATGGACGTGGGTGTTGCTCACTGCGGAAATAGACTCCGACTCGAATAGAATAGGCCTGGAACAGTGCCGTTTCATGCCGTTTGTAGAGGAAAACCGTCCTCCCACATGCTACTATACACTCCTGTCTTCATCAGAGATATGGGTGTGGGTCAAAGCCTGGACCCCAAAACCATGGGACCCTTGTAGTCAACAACCATGTACATTCCTTGGTCAACCGGAAGGTCTCCCGGTTTTGACCCGCCAAGGCTTAGAGTATACGCAGATGATCCAAGGCTATTTCAGCTGTTGGGACCGGAAGTCTTTGTTCCCTGCCAGTTTAGACTACAAGCACGACCAAAACCGTTTACGGACAGCAAAATCGGCTCATGCATGCAGCCTCCCACTATTGAATTGTTAGGGATCCAACCCCCGCAGATATCAGCTGGTGAAGAAGAGCTCAGAGGTGACACAGCTTGATGCGGCATGCGTTCAAATTCTTCCACGTCGTTTCGGTTTTGACGGAAGGTCCCGCACCAAGCTGCGTTGTTTGGCTGAGCCCAACTGGGTCACGGCTCGATTCCGCTCGGTGCTTGTCCGTGCTCGTGCAGAGTCCATTGCAAGCAAGCCTCCATTTGGAACACGTGGAAGCGGCATCATACTGTATGGAATCCCAAGTTCGATGGTAACGTCCGTTGGCAGACTTCCTGTTCTTCAACAATCACTCATTTTCCCACCCCAACACTTCTTAAGCAATATAGCCATATACATAGTACATAGTCAAGAACAACACTTCTGAATCAATCAAAGGCCTTACTGGGCACTCTTTTTCCATGGCCTGGGTGAAAATTGGCTTTGACTTCAAATTCCGTCGCCTCCATGTTGCCATGCATGGGGTCCGGAGATTTGTTTCATGCCTCCCACCATTGAAGCTGTTGATCGCAGTTGAGCGCAAGAATCCACCGAAGGGGAGATGATGCTCGCATTTTTGGGAACCACGGCCACCACCCAATGACATCCTGGCACGAAAGTGTGGGGCACGGTGTTTTTGTGGCTGATTCTGTGAAACTTGAAAGCACGGACACTTGCTTTCACTCAGCTTGTAGCCGGGTAACTCCGCATGTTCGCGGCGTTCTATGTTGGGCGCTCGCAGTCAACTTGGCAGGTGTGTTCTTGCAGTTTCAGCAGTATAATTGGCCTTTGCAAATTGCACATCTGATTTGCCTGCCCACTGCTACTGGTAGTTCAGCAGTGACAGCAAGAGTCTTGGGCACTACTGATTTAACCGCGTCTTCTCAAACATACCATTTGTATCTTTAAATGACCGTGTCCAAGTATAGAATGATCCAGCAGGATACCCGATTGTGACATATTCAGAGTTGTTTTGCAATGTTTTGCAAACTTATTCTAGTTGGACCTTTGCACTTCAGTGGCATTGACATTCCGTTTTCTGTTTGTTCACTACTGAAGTGTACACGTCCCCGTCCCAAAAAACAACTCCTGCCCGCTGGAGGTATGGATTTCGAGCACCCCCAAGACCCAATTGGGCCCATTTTGCCAGTTGGTGCCCAGTGGTCCATCTCGCTGAGGTCGCTGGACTCGTGGGCAGCTTGGCCCTAGTGCCTCAGAGTACAAGTGGTTTTTGTGGGCCCCGGGCGTTGGCAAGTGCTTAAAAGATGTGCACATGTTGCTGTGAATGAATGCGTAAGCACATGATATGATCCATCACTTTACATACTGCAAACATGACCAGCAATGTCAGCAGGCAGGTACTTAATTTTCTCAGCGTGTTTCAGTGATGAAATGCTGGTAGATGACCGCTGCTGTACGTCAAGTGTGAAGATATGTTTTTTCTGTTTGTTGCTGGTTTTCTTATATCCAGGATGTATACACCAGAAGTGGTTGGGATTATGGGTGAGGCAGTTTCTTGTTTTGAGTTGCCGATAGACGTGGGGATACATCAGTTTTTTTGCACAAAGAGTGGTGGTTTGAACTCCACTTTCTCCCTTTCTTGCATTTTCCATTGTGTGTCTTTCCCGTTCGTGCAATGTCGTTTTAAGACTTGTGTTTGTCTTCTTACCCCATTGTCTTCTAGTGTTGTTTTATTCCGTGTGTGTTTTACTTTTCTATTGCCTTCTTGTTCTTTTGCGTTTTGTATGCCTCTTCTGCACAGCTCGATGTGGGGCGCTGTGTTTTGTTTTTGTTATTTTTTTTCAGGGCAACAGGATCAGTGCGTCGTCATCCTTCGCCAAGACAAAGAAGTGCACGACTTGACTTTGGTGCTTTGCATCCACACTGGTCCGCTTTGTTCATTTGCTTCACCCCCTCATGTCTTTGAAAAACAATTGCTGCCTCCTTCCCATCAGGTGGCGTCTCGGTTCCTCGTTGTGCGTCTTTGGGCCCAGGTGGCCACTGTTTTGGCCTTGCTCCCAGCTAGCGGTCCTTTTCTCGAGGCAGGTCCCGCGCGGAAATGTGGGAAGGAAGCTCGATTAGGCTGACTAGGCTCACTTGGAAGACAGCTTTGTCATGTTTGGGGTAGTCTCCACACAGCATGAAACGTCGTTACTTTCAAGTGGAACTGCACAACTTGGGAAGTCGAGGGGGATGAGCGCTGACTTGACGGCCCATCCTACTACAGTAGTTGTAAGTGGATGAACAGCCTGTGGTTGCCAGGGTGGCCCGGCATACAGCACAGGGCGCTTTGGGGTTTGCTTGAGGGTTCGGCAAGTCCCTTCGATGTCCAAACGGGCGAATGACAAGCGCCATACACAAGCGTGCCGACGCCGTAGCATAGATGCAATGACCCTCAAAAAACACATCAACTCCTGGACATTTGACGACATTTGTACATATGTAAGGTTGTATGGCCTGACAGTTCTTCCCTATACCTCAGTTCTTCATGGCTTGTTGTTCTCTTGCACACCTCTTGGGCTGAGCTGCCTCGGCCACCGAAGCACTGGCCCGGGCGGCGGCAACTCCAGGGCTCGCTCGGCGGTGTGGTGCAGAAGAACAACGACTGGGTGATGACAGGGGTCTTCACCCCGATGTCCGGGGCTCGGGGCGGTAAAACGAGAAGTCGGAACCCCTTCCAGCCTGTTGCTGTTTGAGAATCAACCCTTGACAAGTGGTTTTCTGTTTTTTTTGGTGGGGAGTCCTTTGAGAAGTTACTTGAATACATGCGGTCCCGAGATTCGGTGTTTGTGTTGCAAGTCAATGTGCACGTGCTGCATGGGTTTCGAAAACGTGTTTTCACAGTGCAAGTCAATGTGCGAGACTATCTCTGTCGACAAAAAGGCATGCAATGTAGACACGCTACTAGTAGCAAGGACGCTACTAGGATGGAGGCCATCGCTCTTAGGTGGAGGCCATCGCTACTAGGTTGGAGGATGTTGGAGGCCATTACATGCCATTACTACTAGTAGCAAGGATGCTACTAGGGCAATGTAAACACCGTTCCAAAATAGTAAATAGTGGTCTTTCAGGTCATTGCCAGCATCTGTCGCCACCAATGCTGCACGGGTCCCCAGTTCCGCGGCGCGGGAGGCGCCGGAGAACGCCGGTGCCAAGGTGAAATAGAGTTCAGAGTGATGCTTTTGGGGGGGAGAACAGTGCAGCATGGTGCAGCATGCAATGCATTGACTTGGACATATTTGGACCAATATAGGATATAATTATTGGTATGTTATATATATATATATATATATTCTTTTGTATATATATATAATAGGATGGTCAACAACACATCGAAGACACGTGGATTTACATTACCCTCCGGAAACCTGGGTTTTGTTTATATAATCCCCTTGGTCCTTTTTGTGTGTCTTCGACCGATTTAGATGGACACTTTGCCTGTTTTTTTTTATTTTTATCTTGAGTATGTAGATGTTTTATGTTTTTCTGGTGACTCATAGCAGGGTCGTTGCATTGAATCCTACGTTCTCGGCCTTAACTCCCTAATTCCTCCTACCCACCGGCCATCTCGAATAAGGAGGATCCTTCTCTCAAAGTGCAGCCAGCGCAGATGTTGTTTGCTCATGTTTGCTCTAAGAGGGCGGTCGTTAGAGTGAGTTCAGAAGCGAAGTCGAAAGACTTGGCTTAGGTGGAGCTGTTTCAAGTGGATTTGGAGTGCCGGTCATTCAATGGTTAGTTGCCTTCTGAAAGGCCTAAACAAACACCTAGAAACGTTCGATGAAACTAGGAACCAATGTGACATGATGTGACATAATTTGAGGCGACATTTTCTTCGGGTGAGGCCCTGAAGCCGGAAGAGAACCGACAAGATGGCAACGTTTGCGCTGACGACGAGGTCCGGGAGCGTGTCAATTTGGAGGCCGAAATTAGCAACTATACGAGGCCTACAGTAGGAACTAGGATTTGTTGTTTTTCACTTTTCACCTACCTGAGTGGATGTTTCTATGTTGTTCTATGTTTTTTTTCTAAATCTGGAGCTCCCAAAGCTATGGCATCTTTGCTGCACTGTAGGAGAGATTATTTAAGTATGATTAAGCCCTCTTCATTCCTTCAGCACCAAAAAGACCTTTTGCAAAGCACACTCCTGTCGCTCTGCACAGGAGAAGTTTGAAGGCATTTGCTACAAGAAGTGCTCAATCCTCACGCAGGGCCCAGCTCCCAGTTTTGTGGAACCGCGAGAGAGAGAGAGAGAGTGGCCTCTTGCGGCGAATAGCTGGGATTTGCTCTAGCCAACCCACTGAAACATGTTGAAACACTTCTTTCTCGAGGCTTGTTGTAAGCAGTGATCGCGGCCCAGGGTGCAATCGAATTAGACTATCCACAACTCAGCCTGCGAAAGCACAAACAGGCTTTGAAAAAAGACTCAAGTGCAGTCGTGCCACTGCTGATCAATCTTTGCACAAACGTGTGGCCAAAACATCAGCAAAGAGTAGTCATGTTTAAACAACTGATTGAGCAAGAGCACAAGGACAACTCCCGGATAAGAAGACGTGATACAAGAACAAGATTGCATCATTGCAGTCAGAGGAAATCATAATCAATGCGTCCAATGGTGGAGGCTTCGTTCAGTGGAAACCGCTTGGCGTGGTATGACTAGATTATTCGGGACGACTCTCCAACTCACTAAGATGGAAATGGACAAAGGCCTTTGAGACGACCGCTTCCCATGTGATGTGTTCGTGCGAGCGTGTAGCTTCCGAGGTACTCATAAGATTAGAACCACTGCCTTCACCTGCTGCTCCGCAGACAAGATTGAGGACTGTTTGCTGCATGGCCTGGTGGAAAGGAGCTATTCCACTTACCCAGTTTCCCCCACTTGGCCGGAGGTTATTAATTAAATCACGGAGCCAGTCCACGTTGCGACTGCAGCGTCTTTGACCAATAGTTCTGTCGAGCGAAGGATCTCCGTATCTAAAAAGCGTGGCACAGAGTGACAAAGTCGTTCCACAAAAATGGATGACAAGTCTTTTCACGAATGTGTATTGGGAAGAAACCCTCCGCCATTGGTTTATCAATGTTTATCCATGTTTATCCACATATATGGAATGGTTGTTTCACAGTCTTTCACACTCTCTCATCAGGCGAACTGCCCGTGATCCCTCAAACAGATCACACAGCGAATCCCTGATTGATCATGATAGATCGGGAAACATATTGTGAAACGTTGAGATCTGGTGTTGTCAGCGTTTTCCGTCATGACTTGGGCCCCCCTCTCCGTCCAGAAAGCAGCAGCGTTATGACGCAGGAGGGAGCAATTCGGAGCCGGGGGTATCCATATTCCCTATTAAATCGCGGAGCCAGTCCACATTACAGTACCACCGCAGGGTCTTTGACCAATGATTCTGTCGAACGGAGGAACTCCTTGAGAATCTCACTGGATTCCGCAAAAATGGGTGGCTGGTGCCCGTTCATTCATGAATGGTTGGAGCTTGAACTGTCATTGGACAATTGGACAGTTCAAGAGAACTGCATGCCATATAGAATGATTGCTCCTACTTAGCCAGGTGAGTAAACGTGTGGTTTTTGACTTTCTTGCCGTATACGCACTCAAGTTTATCAGTTTATCTTGTTCAGCATGGTTCCACGCATGGTTCCATGTGAGCCATGTCGCCATTTTGGCTGGACACGTGTCCCAAACCATCAAGATTGTCCTGCCCTGGCCTAGCAGGAGATTCTTCCAGCAAACACGGTCAATAATTGCCTGAACTTACCCAAAAAAAACGTGAAATGAACACAGAAGCTCAAGGTTTAACCGAGTTCACCTAGGAAAACGGATGGCAAAGGTATGTTCCTGGAACTTCGCGTCATCTCCTTGCGAGCGTGTGGGAGTCATGTTGCAGGACTGTGGCTTTAGCAATCAGGAGGCCAGAGATGACTTGTGCACCTGAATGGTCTGTTTTACTGTATATAACATAGCCGTGCCTACACTCAAAATACAAAGGGATGGCTAGAGCCCTTTTTTCGATTAATAAAATGGTTTTGCTAAAGAGTGAGGTGGGGCTGGGGTAGGTAGATTTATTTTGAGGAAGAACCGTGAAAATTGGGTTGGCCCCCAAACCAGTGACATGTAATAAAAAGGGGTTGGCACCCTGATTCTATTTTTAACAGGCTGGTTTATAGAACCAGTAATGTTTTGAGATGTTGTGTCACTTCTTGCTGTGTCTCAAAATTGACCAGTGGCTGCACCAGGTTGCGAAACGAAAAGCATGGGAAGGATGAATGAGCAGGAGTTTGAATCCTCCAAATCATCTGTAGAAATCAAGATGATGAAACAAAACGAGCCATGCCAGCATTTTGCTTCAAAGCCTTGGCTACCCTCACATCATGTTCTAAATCATGGTCTTACCTGATCAAATTTTCTACGTTGGCTACCACTGATCTATTTTGAGAGCTTATTCTTTTTTCACCTTGGCCCGCTCTTACTATATGTTGACTTCAGCCTTGGCTACTCTGATTCTATTTTATTTTCAGGGGTTCCAACCCCTCCCTGCAACATAGAATCGAACGATATAACAATATACTGTAAAACAATTTGCCTTATTGGCCTATCGTGCTATTGTTTGACTGTTGAGAACATTCAAAAGCTTGGACATATACACAAGAAGGTATGTAGATGTGTGCTTGAAACATGTTTCCTCCACCAAGGAGTTCTAGTTCAAAGATCCCTATGTCATCATTGGCCCATATCTCGCCTAGAAGACTCAGGGGAGTCAGAGCTAGAAACAAAGAAAAAGGGAGCTTGCTTTCGTGCGCCCAATCGACGTTCTTCGCAGAAACCAACTCGGGGACTGGACACAATCCTATTCCATCCCTGCCCAGGGGAGTGGTGTGTGTTTGTTTGAAGGACCTAAAGAGGTTGAATAGCTCTTTGGCCTATTCTGTACTACTACAGGGTCCCAGAAGGTCTCTCAACCTCTCTTGGCATGGCTTGGTTTTAAGATGTTTCAGGACTCAGGAGTCCATCTTCCTTCCTTCGCGCAACTCTTCTCCATTCATCACTCTGGCCCGCGTGGCCCGAGCAGACGGAGTCAGCCGGAGCAGACGGACGACACCAGGTGAAGATGTCAATCTGCGGCGGCTTCGACGTGGCGGGCGACATCAACGGCCAGGAAGGCCGAAGCCGGGGTCGACCAAAGGCAGTTCCGGTGGATAGGAACTATAGTAGCTATTTTGCGTAGCAAGGACACTACTAGGTGGAGGCCATCGCTACTAGGGTGGATGCCATTCCTACTAGTAACAAGAAGCTACTTGGTTTGTTTTTTGTCAGAGGCCATGTCTTGAAGGATCGGGGCGGGGAAGGCGGTGCGGTGGTTTTTTCTCCGCCCCCGAAGCTCCTGTGAATGAACCCGAATCTCATCGAAGCTCTCCTCACCAAGTGAGCTGAGCTTGAAAAAACTCTCCCAATAAACTTAAGTCCCTGCCTGTCCCGGCCGAGGCTTTACAGGTTGCCTGAGTCGTTGGACATCTTTTGGTTGTTGTCATGGTTGACACCTATTCATTATCAATTATATATATATACATTCACTCTTTGTATTTTCATGTGATCGGGGAGTCGTGAGAGTGGGAGGGTTGAAAACGACAGTGCAAAGATATTAGGGCCATTGTTCATTCCATTCAAAAACAAGACAGCTAAACAAAGCAATGCGCTACAAGAAACCAGCACTTGTGGGGGTGCCTTTTCTGAATTCTGAACTTGTCAAATGGTTGTTCTGAGCTTAATTTGATTAAAACATAAGACATCGATCTATTATCTTGAAGCTTGGAAATGTTCTGGGAAGACCACTTCTTCCAAGTGCCAACAAAAGAAAATGCATCTCAAAGAAAGACATCATTGTATTTATCATTGTATTTTTCCCAAGACGAGGCAACAAAGTATTCCAACAACAATGAAAAATACCACCAAACAAACCGCAAATAACGTAAACAACTATATATATAATACTATATATATACTACTATATATAATATATATATATAAGTGCAGTAGGAACATGATGGAACATGGCGTTGCATGTGTTAAATCTATGATATCGATGATCAGGTGCCTTCCTGGTCTACTATCTCGAACATTGGTTTAGGAGGCATCTTCACACACAGGATTGATAGGACTTGATGGCTTTGGGAAGCTGTCAGTTTCAAAGAATAACTAGAGAAAGGGAGCGGGGAGTCCACCTGCCAGGGTTCAGAAGGATTATGTAAACATCTCAAGACATATTTTAGAAAACAAAAAATGGGGACCCAACAAAGAGTTATATAGCTGAATAGATGAACCGTTAAGCACACATGGGGTTATGAATTATTGTTGAAAAAGTTTGCTCTATTGATGACCCTATTAAATACTTTGCATGATCCAACATTACAGCTCGTATGAGAAGATGCCAGCATGGTACGCTTTGAAAGGTTGTTTGGGGCCGTGTACCATCGAGGCACACGCGCACGATGCTCATCTTAGATGCAACTCGGTGGAGGAGGAGGCTGATCACTGCAAGGGCTCATGCAATCGGGACCATGTGAGACAGGAGGAGATCAACGGCTGGAACCTGCATCCTGTACAGCCAGACTTCACTACATGTGATGTTGCTTTGGCCGAGATGTTGCTCTCAGACATCAATTCTGCCCGAAGCGCCTCCGAAGCGCCCCCAGAAAAACACCACTTGGCAAAAGCCACATGGTTAAATTTCTTGAGAAGTTCGCACAATCTGCCACAGGGGTGGACACGCATTGGGCTCAGCGTGCGGATGACTTGAGAGCAGAAGAAGATGAATGGGCCCCCGGATCTCAATGTTCTTTGACTTCTACATGTCGTTGCCTCATTACCTGGTTTGGACATTGTCCAAGGTCCATTGATCCGTCCCAGGAACAGACAACGAGCCCGCACAAATGTCTGAAGACCTTGCGAAAGTTTGTGTTTTTTGTGATGTGACGTCATTTGTGCAAGGTACTATGACAAAAGAGATGCATGGGTAGCAAGGAGGTGGTTGAGATCCACACCCATCGCGTGAAGGGACTTTGCCTGGCTACAGCATCAAGACCCAACCCTTCTACGTTGCCATTTGTGTGGGGAAGGCTGAGGAGCCGGGTCCAAACGACATTGGCAATTCTTGCTTCAAGGAGCAATCTCTTCAATTTTTGCCATGCTGGCAGCACTTGACGGCCAAGTCATCAGTTCGTGTCGACAGAAGAGGGGCATGCCAGCCAGATAATGAATGGAGTGGTACACCAAGCACGGGGACAAGCTGCCAAACGGGCAGACTCTAGGACAAGAAAGAGATGCCATATGCAGCAGCATCTTAGGACCTCCTACACAGCACGAGTTGATGAATAAAGCCGAGTCAACTAAAGTGTCGCTGGAAAGGGTAGTGGAAGGTTCGGTTGTCTCTCTCATCGAGGACAAGTTGCACTAAGTGCACATGACATGGTAATTTAGGGGGCTAGCGCCCGCTGCCCGCCAACCCCTGAGAGGGGTCGGAGGCGCATAGAGGAGCGGTCTAGAATCTAGAAGTGGTGGAATATGTGGAAGATGAGACTTCCCTCCTGGTTTGGTAGAGAGTCATGAACGTACTTTAATTCATCATGATTCATCAACCTTTTCAAAAAATGGATGTTGGAATATCTCGCAATAGAAGTAATTTACAAAGCGTACAAAGATGTCTCCTTTAGTGGGGCTTTCAACTCATGCATCTTCAACAACCAAATTTGAGTTGCTGTTTCCCAAATTCTTTAGCAGATCGAAGTTGAAGCGCTGGAGAAGCTCTCCAACACACTTCAACGCTTTTCTAGAAGGCCGCACACGCCCTACTATCCGCGTCGTTCGGTTTCTTTTCTTTGGCTACAGTGGCAACTCGTCGAACACGAACCCTGGCATAAACCCTGGCGGCGCTCACGCGCGCGGTCCCTTGGGGGTTCTTACCGTGTAGGTGGCGTGCCCAATACAGCGCAGTAAGGGGTCAGGGAGAAGCCGAATGCGGGAGGGAGTCGAACCCGGGGCAAATAAACTCCTACAGTCCCACAAAAGAAGAATTTAGACAAGTGTCATTGAAGCGGGAGTTTTTGGGCAAGTGTTTGACAATGTGACTGCAGCATGACATCGCCCACCTCTCACCGGAGTCCTTCAACAGGAACACGCCGGCCTCGCTCCGCTCACACTCACGTTCATCGGCCTAGACCAGGGTTGGCGGATGTAGGGTTACATTTAAAATTTAGTATTGTTAAATTGGATGAATGCGTCTTGTTCATATTGACTTGACATTGTGTTTCATTGTATACATGTAAATGATTGCCTAGCCTAAATGTGTTTCTGGAGTGGGTGTTTCTTCTCATGGTGAGTCTGTTCAGCGAATGCTTTTCTTCGGCGAGCGGGTTCAACCAGAAGACACCAGGCGACAATTATATAACTTGCATTCTGGGAAGATCTCACTGCTCCCAAGAATGAAGCTCACATGATTGATCATTTATACGGTGGTGCATTGGTCACCCTTGGGTTTGACCAAGGGTTTTTTAACCGCAGGATGTTGTAAAGGCTGTGCTGGCAAAAGGGGGTTGGATCCGTTTCAACAAAGGTGCACGTTTCAACATTCAAAGTTTCTTCCACTGCAGGGTCTTCATGAAGATATCTCAGCACATAGAAGTTGACTTGCACAAAGTTCTACTAGGAGAGGGCGCTTGCCAGACAACAATTTTTCCTTCTGACAGAAAAGGGTTTCCACTTTGCAGCTGAAATTCATCTAGGACAGTCCCAATGCGTGTTTTTTTTGGTTTTTGAGTTTAGGGTGTACTGACGTTGGACAGGGAAAACAGCGGGCCTGACCCTTAGAGGAGTCAGCAGGGAAGAAAAACTACAGCAACAGATGGCTCAGTTTATATATTTCGCCATGCGAACAGCATCCCCGCAGTAAATCACTTCACTGTTGAAGCAACGCGATGAGGACGAAAACAGTGATTTCTGTACTGTATGTTTTTTGTTTCCCCACTTTCCTTCCTTTGATGCCGAGCGAGCCAGCGATTTTGTGGAGGTTTGTGCCCTCACAAAAAGGGTTCCTGCTATCTCAACGAGGAGCAACCACCGGCGGCCCACGACCAGAGTGACGGGACGGGCAGCCAGGGCCATTTTGAGCTAAATGAAGCGTATGGCGTATGGGGGTTTCCTGACTCTACATGTATATATAGTCGGTTCCAAAGACAAGGCATTTGGAGCATGTATACCGGGATTTTTGTATGTCAAGACCCTGGTGAAAGCGTGCATGTTAAAATGCATTTTACATGTCAAGACTGCAGCCTAACCCCCCACAAGAACAGTGTTTTTGCATCAAAAAACACCACTATTTTTACAGAGATTGATGATCAGCTGGTGCAGAGGGATTGTGCTCCCATGGTCTACCATGGTGTCAAGACTATGGCTGAACCGACTATTCAAAGCTCCAAACAGGCCCAACATAGGATTTTAGCATACGGACAAGACAGTGATGAAAGAGAATTCTCTGTGCCTGAACGCCAGTTTGGTGCTAAGACTAAAGCTTAAAACTATCCAAAGCACACTCCGACTCAGCTTTTTCCCCAGAGTCATGGCATGAAGGATTTTTTTAAGATAGTATTTGCTTAATTGTTAAGACAACAGGCAAACAAACACAATTTGGCCTGCAAACGATTGTCACATGGGCATGCTAAAGCGAACATGCCAGATGTCAACTGAACGGTGAAAACAGCTGTTTCCTAAATGTCAAGACTATTGGGAAGACCATTGCTGAAACAATGCCGACGGTACTTCGGCCAACGTCAAGACTTTGGAACGCACTATAGTGGAAACATGTGGAAACTATGGGGTGTTGATATTGATACTATATACGTATATATATATATATATCACTGTATGTATTAGTGATACCCGGTACCCATCGACCATCTACAACGTCTTGAAGGAGATAAATCAAAAGGTCGACCCATTTGCCGATTTATATATCAATGTTAGATTTTGTGCGTTAAAAAGGCGATTCAATGCTGTGTTCCTGCGCCAACTCGTTGTCTCGAAACATTGGTTCTTTGAATCCTCCCCAGATTGGTCAAGAAAAACATGTGGTTTGCTAGACGAAGGAAACTCTATGACCAGGTTCTGAAGCTCATGGAGGGAGATTTCGTTCATGTTCTTGACCCAGGAAGTACGGCAAGGGTGAAGACGCACGCCTTCAGCCTACTTCAGGAGATGTACTTGGGTATGTGCTACAAAAAGCATGGAGCCTCAGTGGTCAAACGCCAAACCAGGAACCATTTGAAAACCAAACAGTCGCCTAGGACAAAATAAGTTTGACATCTGTATATGGTGTTTCTTTGGTTCAACTAAGGAAGTTGTCCTATTGTCAACATCATTTGAAAACCTTTGTTCAACTCTCATATATAATGAAATCTGTACTGTAATATATTGTAATACTGTAAGGTTTTCCTCTAACTTCCTGCATAGCAATCTCCGATACCAACACAACAACACAACAGTTTTGTGACCTGCTTACTTGTCAATTGTACCCATGGAAAAGACATGCTGCTTGAATGGAAAGACATGCACCTTCTCCAGACCACCACAGATAGATCAGGGATCTGCTATGGAATCGAGCCCGAAGTCCTCGGGTGAGGTGTAGCGACCTCACTGATGGCGCGTACACTCATCGGATTTCCGCCTTCTCTTGCTGCAACGTCCGCCCTCCACATGTTTGCGCTGCCTGTGAGGGTGTGTTGCAGTGTCGAACATGTTCGTAAACACCAAACATTGATTGGGTTGTCACGGCTTGTCCTTTGCAAAGATAGCGAAGACTGATGAGAAGGATGATTATCCAGAACTAGGACCATAGTAACCGCAGGTCAGCCACAAAAGAAACCCAACACAGAAAGACACAAACTGCTATGCACAGCGAAGGTTCCAGAGTTTGTTGCGCGGAGAGTATCATGGAGTATGTTGTTTCTAGGAAACCTTTTGCTTGGGGTGATTCGCGTAGCGAAGCCACGAATCCACCAACAGGCATGAGACGCAGTTGGCCCCATCTTGGCAATACATCCCTTTCCATTCGCACGTTGGCCTTGTGCAAACATAACATCAACCTCAAAGACATTCTGTTTGTTGCAGGGCCTGGAGACCCCACCAACAAAATTAACATACAGAATACGGAAGAGGTACAGTATGCTACAGCAAAACCGGTGAAAAGGGTCTTTTTATGTTTCCTGTTTCCTGTTTTTTTTGTAGTCCTTTCATTTTGATCTATGGCTGTTGCCAGGTGGGAGGTTGTCCAAACCACAGGAACGGGCTATACCTGGAGCAACTGTGAAGTCAGCAACATGAAAGACACCATGAGAGAAAGGATGGGTGGGGATTCTATTGTTCGGGTACCCCACCCCAGCAGGGTCACTCTCTTCAGGAGGGATCACTACATTGAGTCTATGTGGGTATCCAGATCAGCCAGGTCCCCCATCATCCGCCCAGTCTTGCAAGTAAAGTAGAGGTCTTGCACACCTACCTCGAACCCTCCGCCAGCCTCGAACTCAAACATCGGGTTATTGAAGTAGACAGGTTCCCTACCCGAAAAAAGGGCTCCAACGACCGAATAGAGTGTTTCGAGGGATTTTTAAGAGTCAGTCCCTACATATCCCTACCCTCCTTCTGAGAACCTCGAGAAAGCAGAGTACGTCACCAAAGCAGCCGATCATAGATAATAGATCCTGATACGATCATACATTGCACCAGAGGATGCATGTCGGCAGAGTCAGTGCCCTATACTTTCCCTTCTGTCCTCGTGTTTGTTTTTGTGTTTTTGCGATCCTCCGTTTGACAGAACGAGAACATCCTCGCGTGCAACCCCTTCTCCTTCGGTACGAGCAACGTGAAGAGCGCCGTCTCGCCCGGGGCACCCGACTCTCGCGACCGACGTGGACAAGACCGGATCCTGTTGTGTGGACCTTTCGAGGACCCATTGAGCCAGACGAGGCTGTGTCAGAGTCACTAGTTGCTTAAAAAGATGTGTGACATGTGATGATGATGATGATGATGATGATGATGATGATGATGATGATGATG